AAAAATAAAAACTAATGAAAATTGCAAAACTATTAAAACCCTGTTATCAGAAGTGTTATTTGTTTTTGGTCAATATAAAAATTATTGCAGCTTTACTGATTGATTGGTAAACTGCATTTATAGTGGGAATTTCTGGGGCCCAGTGACAGATTATCCTCAGTCTCACAGGAGACATCAGGATTCTTAACCACCGTTATTCTTACATTTGTGTTCTTCTTTAATTAACATGCCAGAGGCTCCCATGCGGCCTGCTCGACTCCACCTCTCCTCTCCTGCAGTTATCTATAGTGTCTCCTGGCACCTCTCCATGTCTTCATGCAGTCGTGTCCTTTACCTAATTATAACTGTAATTAATATCCTGCTCCCAGTGCTTTGCTCTCAGACAAGTATGCGCTCACTGGGCTAACAGGCCTGCAATAGAAAATGTTGCAAATATAGATTACGTATTAATGGGGTTGTTGTTTTTATCTTATTCTTAGAGGTGTATGAGTAATGAAGCTAAAAATGTAGAGCTTCACACCAAATGCACATGTGCAGCCATGGAGGAAATGGTAGGTCTGTACTTAGCCTGTGCATCAAGTGCTGCAGAGGTGCACCAGCATGCACTGCTTCCATTTTTCACCAGGAATATTATGCTGCAAGTCTTCATGTTTGTATTTGAGTTTCATTCAGTTTTATTTACATAGCACCAAATCATAACAGCAGCCACCTCAAGCCGCTTTAGGTGAGTGAACAAGAAACACTCAGTGCATCATGGGAAGCCTCCAGCACCTACTGTAACGTAACTATACGCTTTCTCAAAACATAAAGTTTTCTGCCTGAAGTTAAACTAGCGTGGGTGTCTGTCTCATAGAAAACAAGCTGAGAACTGGTTCCACATAAGTGGGGCCTGAAAGCTGTGGACGAGGGACCGCAAATAAGCTAGCAGTCTATTGTGGTGATCGGGTACTCTGAGTTTATTAAGATAAGATGGGGATAAGTAATAAATGCTTATCCTAGTTTTTCAGCATGACTTTGACGTGGATGTTTCTCATTTTAGAGATATTGCACAAATGCAAAAAGCAGTCCCACATGTTTGTGTAACATGCAGATGGAATGAGTCCAGCATTTGTCAGTGTTAATGCCAACCAGACATCATGATGCTACAATTTTTAGGGCCAAGAACAAAACATCTTGTTTATTTGAATGTATAAGTAGGAAATTAGAAGTCATCTAGATCTTTGGCTTTAAGCCATTCCTGCAGTATAACTAATTAATGTGTGTCATCTGGCTGCATGGATAAAGTTGAGTATCAATGCAATGAAAATGTATGGTATGCCTTCAAATGATAATGCCTAAGGAAAGCATGTATACTGTATCCAAAATCTTGTGGAAGTCCAGAATTAATTTAATTTAATTATGTGCCTTAAATCAAAGACTGATTTATTGGTGAGGATGAAGATTGTTTGCCTCCCAGTTTGTATTTTGTCCTATCTGTTTATGCTCTCTCTACACTCCACTCTTCTACTATATGGACAGAAGTATCAGGCCACACTTCATCTTTGAATTTGGGTGTTTCAGACTCACTGCAGCAGGTGTAAAAAAACAAAAACAAAAGCACATAGCTATACATTCTGCCTTTGTAAACATTTGTGAAAGAATAGTTTGTTTTAAAGAACTCACCAAGCGTGTTGCTGTAATAGGTGGACACAGAGGCTGAGTTTCTCAGAGGTAGAGATGGTCACAGATTTCCCAACCTGCAAAAGCTGCATCTATAAATTGTACAAACAATTTCAGAAAAATGTTCCTCAATGTACGATTGTGAAACTCACTGGGCTCACTGCAGGAACACTTCCAGAAATTACTGTCTATGAACAGAGTTCAGCAAGTGTCATTAAAAACTAAAGCCTTTCTAGTGGCATTTGGCAACCCAATAGTTAGTATCCATGCCAGACTTTGACCATAAAGTAGATGCTAATATATGACCTTCCAATATTAAGTCAAAAATGTATTAACCTGATAGTTTTCTAGAGGAAACTCCAGAAATGTTAGCCTCACAGTAGCACTAAATAAAAATCTATTAGATCACCGAGGCTAGTGGGATTCATCAGTGGTCCTGCTTGTCGCTACCAAGTTACAATGGGAGCCATCTGATGATTAAATTACTTAAATACAGACCCAAATATTGGGCTGAATTACTGTGTAGTGGCATCATTTGTTTGTTTTTTATTCTTTCAGTAAAATTGATAACATGTTTTCAGAGAAAATACAATTTTCCAATTGCAATCATAACTAGTGACAATACTACTAATTGTTAATTATTAAGTGTACTGGATGTGCTCCGTCTCCATCCTTCTACTCACAAAGTTCATATTTTGAGGAAGTTCACATGCCTTAATCGTAACATAGAAACATGTGTTTCCTTCTGTTCTCTCCTTCACTTCATGCATTCATCATTAATGCGTGACATAAGTACTTTCAAGCAAGTACTGAGAACGGTTGCCATGGCTACAATATCATCCTGTAGGCTTGGCCTAGGTTTTCCATTCTCCTTCTCTGGCAAGATGAAAATTCACAGGTCCAAACTGTCGAAGGCAGCTTTTTATGACTTCAAAGCCAGACAGAATCCACAGGAGCCTTGAGACCTTTGTCAGATGGTACTGCGCTGCATCCTTCAAGCCCCGTTGATATTCACAATTTCCTTCTCAGACCCTAAAAACAATGAATCGTGACGCCTCATTTTAAAAATAGTATTTCTCTCATCTTACTCCTGAGCTAAGGCACACGAAGCCATTACGCCGAGAAAGGACAACTCTCCCCTAATTTAGTATTTGGTGTTGTTCACTAAAGTGAGTATATTCTCAGTGACAGGAGTTGCAACAGCTTTGCTTTTCTTTTATGTGTTCACTCATGTGAATCTCAAACCCAGCGCCTTATTCAGACAAAGCCCAAGAAATACAGGCTATTTTTATTCTGACTGCAAGGTGCCTGGCTTTGGTTCACATGAAGACATCAATTGATCTGACACAGCTTGATGACCTATGTTTGTGCTTTGCTCACTATGACGGCTTCTTTATTTTTCCAGGTCATGGCTTCAAGTTCGGACCAATCATTGGCAAGCTTCTGTGTGAACTCAGCCTGGGAGAAGTGCCCTCCTATGACCTGTCACCTTTCCACATAAGACGCTTCCAGTCAAAGACGAACTCAGCGTTATAGATCTGCAACACAGCGAGTGTTTTATAATAATAACAGCTAAATTATAATTTTAGTAAATTCATTTAATCACTACGTTTAAATTCTATGATTGTAGTGTTTTGACACTAGGTGTAATCAAATGCTTTCAAGCATAATGAATATGTGTGCTGTTATCCATGTAACTAGGCCATAGACTTTTTCTCATAATCTGATTTCTAACTAATATTTTGTGATTTCCATAATTACTATACAAACATTATAGATGGGCTCTATCAATCCTCTGATCTGAAGCTCCTGAGTTGATTTGCACAAAGAAGTGCTTGTAGAAAGTTTACGAGATGTGATGAGGCTCATGTCTACGGTAGCATTAGTGCGCATGTGTAATTCTGTCTGTAAACACGATAGCATGGAAAGTTTTGAATGACTTCTGATAAAACTTTCGCTCATTTCCAGTCCAGTTCTTGTGTCTGACCATTTTCAGAGGATTTGTTTGTTTCTTACGCTACTAACAGACCTAAATGTGAATCAAGCAAAAAAGGCACCTGACTCATGACAGAAATCAGGGTTGTGTCTGCATATAACAGACAACTTGACAAAGAACCCATTTGAAATTGTGTATTTAGGCACTTTGTTATCAGCAGTCTGTCACAAAAACACTGTTCCCATTTCTTTAGTTGAATCCACAAGAAAAATGTCAGAACTGTTTGACAGGCTTAAATATGTTCTTTTTTACTAAAGAGTTGTTAGCTAAAAACATGGCACATCTTTGCATGGTGTGCAAGATATCCCAAAAGGTTTGAGGAAACTTGACAAACTGAGGACAAAAGATGCGGCAGGCCTGAAACACTATGGCAGATGATTGGTGAAAGTCATGTTCCTAATGAATGGGGGGAAATCCAGCAAAGACCTGACACAGGACCTGAGGGTGTTGTGAAAAATAAAATTGAGTGTTGAAGCCAAACTGTTTTTTCTGAGATTTATTAAAAGAAACCTTTGCAAAGGAGTCAGCACAGACAGTCTTCACACTAGCATTGACAAAGAAACAAACTGGGAGAAGAGGCCCAGTTCAAATGGAGGGAGTCAGTAGTAAGGTAAGTAACAGTGAGTGAGCCATCTGTAAAACACAGTGGAGGCTCTGGCATGGTTGCATTTTAGCCATTGTTTTTGGTGATCTTACAGAAAAGTATTCTAAGTCATTGGATCTATTGTCCAATGTGGTTTGGAAAGCATCTGATTGGGAATAACTTCATTTTTCAGCTTGACAGTGATCCAAACACAGTACAAAAGGTTCTTGTTACTTAAAACATTGGATAAAGAGCGAGGGGGGGGGAAACTGTGTTCCTGATAGCTCTGATTCTGTCAGTCGGTTGGTATGAAGAGCTCAGCTGGAGCTGAGGTGGGGGACACATTTTGGCCGTCCAATCAAGTTGCTGACATCCAGTGACCACTCACCCACACCTTATCTGACTTACAAGAGTTAACAAACACAAAGGTTAAACTTTAAAATCACTTTGTTATTCTTAACACAGAGAATTCACATTGAAACATTCAGTCAGACATGGATAGAATTCACTGCTTCAGTTATATTTATCTTTAGCACATTTTTACACGAACATTTTTCGGGACATAATCCCATCTTAATTTAAATAAAGAGGAATACTTTTTTACCTTTTACAACTGTTTGTCAGTCATCTTTTTAAATGTATTTTATGAAACATCTTTTATTAAATCATTCATTCTGTGAGACTAGTGGCTACAGTGTGTCACGCTCACCCCCATCCTGCACCACACACACCAGGGTCAGACTCTGTAAAGGTTTTCACTGTGGCCTGTTATCACTGTTGTTTTATTTTCTGGTCAAACAACACAACGCAACACTGTAATCCCACATTGTTGAGCTATTGTAAATTCAACAATTAATGACATATTCATTATATGTATGCGTGTATGGATGGGTGGATGATGCATCAGTGACCCACCCTCCCTGGATTTCCATCATTTTATCAACTAAATGGTGTTAAAAAGATATCAGCCACTGAGCAATCTGTCCATGTGAAGCTAGCTGCGTGCTTAGAGCTGCGTGCTTAGGCTATGGAGGTGGACTATTGCCCAGCTCCATTTCCCCATCTACCAGTAAACATTTTAATCACTAATCAGAGGCCCTGTTACAATGGATGCCATCCAAGGCCATCAGTGGGAATGGGAAAATTATGCAGTGAAACGACAGAGATCACTGAGCCATTTGCTCCCTTGCCTCTAAGTGACTGCAAATGGGAGCAAAGAGACATTATACAAATGCAAGAATTAGAATTACATTAAACATTCAAATGCAAATATTTAACTACAAATGATCATCAACTGAAACATTGCTTACAGAACAATATCTAGCTCGTAAAATTACATCTTACTGTTGTATATGAAGTGTATTCATGGCTCGACCATTAGATACCCTAATATAACTCTGGCACCTTTTAAGGTCCTGAATAAGTAATGCCTCGTGGTTCACCTATGGCATTACTTATTGTCCAGAGCCTTGTGTGTCAGTATAACTACCAATAATGATTCATATAAGCAAGCAAAAACTTAAAGCTGTGTAATTTTATCAGCAACTCTACAGAAGATTTTACCATTCATCCTGTAAATATTTTTAGTGATGAAAGCATTGATATACACAATGAACAGTACCTACGCAGCAAGGAAAGTGTTTTGTTCTGTTTTCTGTCCAGTTGTCCTGTATGCAGGGTAAAAGTGAAGAAAAGGGATCAAGTCATCAGAAATATTCATGATATACTAAACTGAAGAAGCTTCTCGGATGAGAGGTGAAACGTCTTCAAGTAACTTAAAGAAGTCCAGACGCTTTTCTTTGCAAGCTCCTTTGACTACGATGACCTGGATGACTGAGAACCTTCACAGACATGATATACTAAAAAACACACAATTTATCTTCTAAAAATAACTTTTGAATTATTTAAATGTAATTATTAAGTCCCATGTACTAACAACCAACCAGAGCAGATACTGCTCTGTTTTTTTATTTTGAGGACCAAAATATGCTCTAAAATAGATGAAACTCTGCATCTGTTGATGGGTTTCAAACAGGGAGGGTAAAAATGGCACCATAGCTCCACTGTTCCACCATCTGGCACAAATGTGTAACACCCCAAACCCCAAAACAATAACCAAACTCAAAAGGACCTCTGCCATTTTGATTTTAAAAAGACTTTATTGTGATTTTCAGACAGCGTACTTCTTTAGATTTCTTCTAGGGATCAAAAGGAAAACTTCATATTTGGTCTGTCTCAGCTACAGACTTTGGTGACGCTAGTGCAAAGTGTAAAGCTGTTGACTTTTCATTGTGGGGCGTGTTCAATCAGTTACCATAACGTTGTAATTTTCTGTCATTCACATATACATTGTTCAATCTTGCCAAACGTCTGATGAATAATAAGGTCCAACTTGTGACAACAGTCATAATATATACCAAGACTATAAGCCAATAGAAATATTTGGAGTGTAACCTGGTAGAAACATGCAGTGTCATGTTTTATGCTTTTGTGTACTACTCCTCGCAGGTTGACTGGATTCATCTTAAACATGGTCTGAACTTTTGACCCTGATGCTTTTTATGAAAACATCCTGTTGGCATGGCAACTCACCAAGAAACAGGAAGTATTTAAGGGGACAAAAAAGTTTAAAAGTGAGAAACTTGGCACACACCTCCAAAGTGATGAAGGCTTTTGTGTTGTTTTGGTCTTATTAGTGTCTGTGCTGACACCCAATAACATGTACCGATGAAGCAACAACAGTGTTACATTTGAACTAGATGTGCGAAATTTGACTTTTGGCATTTTTAATATCTCAAGATTTACAAAAATGTCTCCTGGAGTGACATTCAAGAGCATATCAGCTATTTTGACTTAATAGATATTTTTGCACTTAATATTTTTTTGCAGATATGGGCTTCCTGACTTATTTTTCACTCATTAATATGTTTAAAATGTTAACTTATCAACCAGAATGTAGAGGACCAGACAGAAGTACCATTTCTTTAAAAAACGATTTCCCAGAAGGGAGTGAGCCAACAGAACTCAGTTTCCACTCATTGCTGTGAGACTGGAAAGCTCGAAGAGACATGCAGACACTGAGCCACTGAGAGTGACAGCAGAAGTATTTTCCACTTGGCCAAGCTTACTGCAAGTGTCACGTCAGTTTGTCTCTCTCACTGTGGTGAGAAGATGCTGTCATGATGGTTTCAGGCCAATGCAAGCGTAAGTGATCATAACTGATATTTCTGCAAAATGCAAAGAGAGTAGTTGTGATGATGAATATTTACAGGCCAACCTGACGGAGTGTTTTCAGCAGGACATCTACACAGTTACATATACATATACAGTTAAATAAGAAATCCCGGAGAGACAATGGACCCAGCTATCACTATGAGTACACTTTGCAATGCAGCATATGCATAAAAGACTTGTACTGTAAATTGGATAGATGGCATAGGAGATAGCTGAGCTCCATCAAGTGTGTTAGTTCAAGGAAACCATGTTTGCTTTGTCTCAGAGGTTAAAGCAGCTGCATTTAATAGGACAGGGTTCAATGCTCTATCCCAACATGACAGCAATTGCTAACAAAATTATGACCTTCAAGAACTTTAACCTCACAAGGGGTTAAATACCTGGGACTCTCCATCAGTTGTTTTAAAACTTTTCATCTTCTCAGATGAAAAGTGAAACATCTTCACAAACTAAAAAGAAGAGCAGCGGCCTTCTTGTGAAGCACTCAAGACTTTTAAAATGGACTGGTTCTTATGGAGTACTTCTCTACTTGAGCACTTTATACAACATGCATCATTCACCTGTTCATGCAAGCACCTCTTTCTACTCTGTTTTATATTTAGCATTCACAACCCAATTACCACATCACAGAGCAACTTGGTTTTCAGTGTCTTGCCCAAGGATACTTTGGCATGCAGACAAGAATCAAACCACCAACCTTCTGATTAGTTAGAGGATGTGCTCTACTGCCTGAGCTGCAGCCATCCCATGGGCCGCTCTAAAGCGCTGAATCCTAGCATGGTACAGGAGGACACTGTTGTTGCAACAAGTCTGTTTGTGAAATGTTTTCTGAGGATTGGGATCTACTGATCTCTGCGAGTATTAGGGCCACATTAAAAAAATATTATTGATCATTTTGAGAATAAAGTCGAAATTTTGAGATTATGGTCAAAAATCTATTTTTAGAAAAAAAAGTCAAAATGTGAAATGATTGTTGTTTTAAGACAAACTGTCACAGTTGCTATACCGTCTGAGTCAGTGAAATCGTACTTTAGAATCGGTTTTAGTAGCAAGGAAGGAAATTGTTTCTCTTTTAGTATATAAGCTCAGTGTGGTTCTTGATATAGCACGTTGAAAAGATGGTGAAACACAAACCTGGAAGAGTGGATTTGTACATAAT